CCTCTCCTTATGTGCTCAGCTTATAAAGGCACGATTGGTTGCTTCCTTCCAGATTTCTCTGCGGCCTGATTAATACAGCAGCGCTGGGACTGCAGTGTCTGTCTGAGGACTAAGATGAAGGCTCTTCCTGGGCCTCCCCCTTACAGCTTTCTCCTCCCTCACCTTTTTTATCTTTGGTATTCCTTAGTTCCAACTCAGTGATCTTTTGCTTGTTGCTTTTATTTTCCTTCTTTCTGAGATTATTTATACTGCCAGGAAGTTTTCTAGTGTGTGTGAGCTCAGCTGTCAATCTTAATATTTTCCTCTTTTTCTTCTTGAGACTTGAAATACATGCTTCAAAAACTTCGTGCTTCTGAGAGCATTGCTGGGCCGTGTAATAAATAATATCACTGTCTTGCCCTCTGGTCTCACAGTGTCAGTAGAAAGTTAAAAGCATTATCTCATGGTTGGTTGTTCTTTTCATACACTCTGCCTACAAAGTTATGTCGTTGGTATGCTGTTTGTAAGTCTTTCATGGAAGGTAAAAGTACAAAACACACTTTTCTTTCACTTTTGGTAAAATAAAGAGTAGAATGAGGCTGGGTGCCGTGGCTCACACCTGTAATCCCAACACTTTAGGAGACCAAGATGGGTAGGTCACCTGAGGTCAAGAGTTCGAGACCAGCCTGACCAATATGGTGAAACACCATCTCTATTAAAAGTACAACAATTAGCCGGGCATAGTGGCAGATGTCGTTAGTCCCAGCTACTCTGGAGGCTGAGGCAGGAGAATCACTTGAACCCGGGAGACAGAGGTGGTAGTGAACCTAGATTGCACCACTGCACTCCAGCCTGGGCAATAGAGCAAGACTCCCCATCTCAAAATATGAAGCTACCCTGGTTCTGTTTCCCCCAGATAACTGCCCCCTTCATTCGTCCCTTTGCTGTGGCACCACATGTATGTGCCTTGTCACCTGGAGGTTTGATGAGCGTCTCATCTTTGAGCCTTGTTCTGCAGACTGACATCTGACGTGGTTTGCATGTTTCTCCTGCATTCTTATGTCTCATTATTATTTTTTTTTAGGGACTCTAAGAGTCTTGCTATTGAGTTCTTTTCCAACAAAGGTGTAGGACCACCAATCTTGTAGTGGATAAAACTGCAAAAGAAAATGTAGCTGTAAAGTATTTTCATTTAACATTTCCCATTTTTACTCTGCACGTCCCACAACATGAGCCACGTACCGTGTTCCCAGTTGTGCCGTTTTTTGTTGTAAAATGCAGCAAAAGCAGTAAGCAAGAACCACCCCAACATGGGTCTTGGAGACCCTCTTGAAAGTCACGTAGAGGAAAATCTCTTCTACACTCAGGGTCAATGGAAGGCTTAGAAAAGCCAGTAGTCGTTCAATGCTATAGGGTTTAAGGCATGATCGTATCTACAGAAGATGGCTTTTTAGGTCTCACTACGTGGAGAGTCAAGCTTCACCCATCAGGGAAATTTAAGAAAAAGAAACACCCAGGGGCTGGGATCTAAAGGACCCTGAATATGAAATTCATTTAGTAGAGTATGCAGATATAGAGCACAAGTTAGAATTTAATTCTTCATCTGTTTTTGCTGTTGATACTTTAAAAAAATGTTTTTTTTTGAGATGGAGTTTCACTCTTGTTACCCAGGCTGGAGTGCAATGGCGCGATCTCGGCTCACCGCAACCTCCGCCTCCTGGGTTCAGGCAATTCTCCTGCCTCAGCCTCCTGAGTAGCTGGGATTACAGGCACGCACCACCATGCCCAGCTAATTTTTATGTTTTTAGTAGAGACGGGATTTCACCATGTTGACCAGGATGGTCTCGATCTCTCGACCTCGTAATCCACCCGCCTCGGCCTCCCAAAGTGCTGGGATTATAGGCGTGAGCCACTGTGCCTGGCCAAAAAAAAAAAAAAAAAAAAAATGATTTATTAGTGGAAAACTATTTTTCCAGTCTTTAGAAAAGCATTTCTAAACAGCTGAAATTTCAGATTTCAGTAGCTTGGTGATACGTGAATGAAATAAAAACCTGTGATCTGTTGCCAACTGCGAAGTTGACCATTATTTTGTGCCCATGATAGCTATAAAAATGCATCCAAAGGTGATTGAAACCTATCTTCAAGTGCTTTTCTTTTCAGCCAGGTGCTGTTTACATCATATCTGGATAAGCGCTGTGGGGCCTACTTTTAAGACAAGAACCATCCAATCTGCTTTTTGTAGCTCTTGTTGCCAGTTTTATGTTGGTGAATTCATTGTCTGTGGTTTTTCTTGGGGCAGGAGAAAGTTTGTTTCTGAAAAGTGATGAGCAGCACTTTGGGAGGCCGAGGCGGGTGGATCACGAGGTCAGAGATCGAGACCATCCTGGTCAACATGGTGAAACCCCGTCTCTACTAAAAATACAAAAAATTAGCTGGGCACGGTGGCGCGTGCCTGTAATCCCAGCTACTTAGGCGGCTGAGGCAGGAGAATTGCCTGAACCCAGGAGGGGGAGGTTGCGGTGAGCCGAGATCGCGCCATTGCACTCCAGCCTGGGTAACAAGAGCGAAACTACATCTCAAAAAAAAAAAAAAAGTGATGAGCAGCAAATGACAATGTCTAGGCTCCAGAAGCACGTCTCACTCTAATTTCTTGTTGGGTTGATGGTGCGGGGAGGGAGACGAGGAGCTTAATTTTTATTCTTTACCGAATAGTTATGTTTAAGGAAAGCGATATTTGCATTTGATATTTATATATGATGGCAAGAAAACGCCATCTCTGTAAGCAATGTTTGTCCAAGTTTTAGGATTTCCATACATCAAATCAGTTCTTTGTGGATAACTACGAAAGGCATTTGGATTTCCAGATCTCTCATTTTCCTAGTGCATTGAAAAGTCTTTGGGGGAAACTCCTGTACCCTTAGTCTAGATTGGTCTTTCCTCTAAGATCAGAGAAAAGTCCTTAAAGAGGACCTCAGAGAATCCTTAGGAAATGTGAACCGAGAAGGAAAGATACAAGCAGACAGCAGCCATGGTCAGGAGAAGCCGCTGGGTGGGTGATGGGGAACTGCAGACAGGCAGTTCGGGGGTCCCCGTTCTTGTCACTGCCCCCTGGAGGTATGAGTCTCATCTCAGTCAGCTCAGGCTGCCACATCAAAGAGCCACATGCCACATGGCTTTTCAATGATGTTTATTTTCTCAGTGCTCTAGAGGCCAAACGTCCAAGATGAAGGTTCCAGAGTTGGTTTCTCCTTAAGCTTCTCTTTTTGGCTTGTAGATGGCCACCTTCTCCCTCTGCCCTCACATGGTCTTGTCTCTGTGCATGTACATCCCTGGTGGCTTTTCATCTTCTTTTTTTTGGGGGGGTGGGGGGTGGAGGGGACCTCATTGTGTCACCCAGGCTGGAGTGCAATGGTACAATCATAGCTCATTGCAGCCTTGACCTCCTGTGCTCAGGGCATCCTCCTGCCTCAGCCTTCTCAGCCTCCCTAGTAGTGCCCCACCGTGCCCAGCTAGATTTTAAATTTTTTGTAGAGATGGGGGTCTCACTCTGCTGCCCAGTCTGGTCCTCCTACCTTGGCCTCCCAAAGTGCTGAGATTATAAGGGTGAACCTCCACACTCAGCCTTTTCATCTCTTTCAAGGCCACCAGTCCTACTGGATTAGGGCCCCACCCTTATGACCTCATTTAATTACCACATTGAAAACCCCATCTTCAATTACACTCCTATCGGGGGTTATGAACATAGAATTTGGGAGGGACACGGTTCAATCCATAATAAGAATGAAGGTCTCTTATATGAGGCCCCTCAGTTAGTTACCACTTCTGGGGGGAGGTTTAACTGGAGAAATGCCTTTTATTATTCCTAATATACAAATAGACTGCAGATTTCCAAAGACCCCAGTCTAATAAGAAATAGAGACGTTTATGAAGGACTCTTGATTCCTGTGTGCATTCTCCTTGCAGTATGATTTAATCCACTACTTACCACTCAGTCAAGATTTGAGGCCATGGGGATTGCAGTGAAGGTGTGCATGTTCAGAAAGGACGTGGTTTACTGCTTTGGAAAAAGGAACTGAAGCCGTGGAGGCGGGTGCGGTGGGGAAGAGGGAGGCTGGAGAGCAGGTGGAAGCAAGTTTTAGTTCCTGGAGCCATCTTTCACCATCCCAACCTAGAGGAGAGGAGCGGCTGGTTACCCTCACGGGCACAGTGTGGTAAGCTGCACTACCATTTCACGTTGCTCCCTTTACACTTGAGAAATACAGCAGCCTTCTTTAACTGTCACTGATCCACCCGAGACGCATTACAGTTCTGTTCACACTGAAGCCACTTGCTGCCGGTGTCTGCAAGGCTGGGAGTCTTCACTCAGTTTCCGGGTCCCAGCCATACAGTCACTCTGCATTGTGTGTGTGTGTGTGGGGGGGGGGGTTTGGTCTTTTTTTCCCCTTATAAAACCCATTGTGTTTCTCTCCATTTAAATGTGACCTTCCTTACCTATCACCATTCTGCACAGATGCCATTTATGAATAATGGAAATCGTCCCCATTTCAACAATATGATACACAGCCTTGACAAAGATATCATTTCAGTGTTCTGAATTTGCATGGTTTTCAAGGCAGAATTACAGTCCCATATGCACTCACATTTTTCAAAAATGAAATATGGTATCAACAGGAAAATACCCGTTAGACTTCACTAACCTCGTTTCAAGAGCCATGCCATTAGGTATGTACCCTGCACCACTCGTCTTGGTATGAAGTTGTATATAGCAAAATGAGGGTGTGTTAAATGGGGTGTCTTTGTGGAAGTGGATTCTGGTTTAGCACTGTTAGGACGTATTTTTTGCACACTAGTGAGCATTTCTTATCAATATCTCCGTGAGAAATAACAGAAACGACATGGAAAACCACGCATGATATGCTCTGTCGTCAGAAAATGAAGTTGCTGCCTTTGGAAGATGCTGTGCAGAATACGTCTGATTCATAATCTGGTCTTACCATCGCTTTCCCCTCCTCACTTTCTAGATACAGAGGCAAAACATACAGGGCTGTGGTCAAAATCGTACGGACGTCTGACCAGGTCGCAAATTTCTGCCGCCGAGTCTGTGCCAAGCTAGAGTGCTGTCCAAATTTGTTTAGTCCTGTGCTGGTATCTGAACACTGCCCAGAGAACTGCTCCATTCATACCAAAACCAAGTACAGTAAGTACAAATGATGGAAAAAGAAACGCATGGTGCCAGAGGCCTGAGCTGTGCTGTGCGGGATTTGGGTTTTTTTCATTCGCGTTTTTCTTTTTGAACCTTTGGACTAGTCTTCTGTAGGAATTGCTGTGGAAGGATGTTTAACGATTTGCTGGGGGTTTTTAGACTGACGTACGGAGGGGCTGGGGTGATTTAAAACACGATGAATTTTCACTGGGAGGCCTTGGAAAAGAAGGAAAGAAACTGGGTGTGCCGGCCTGAGTTTCAGTGGATTGATTGACTCCACAGCTCAATGGACGGTGGGAAAGCACAGTAAACCTGATCACAGTAGCAGTGACCTGGATGGCTTTCTCAGTCCTTACTCTGGGAAAGTATAATGACGCTTTCATTGCCCTGCTTCATACGGGTGCCACATCTTCGTCATAATCGGCTTCTCATGTTTAGATGAGAACCTCATCTGAACACCCCCACCGAGGAGAGCCACGGAGGGCTCAGAATTCACCATCACTTTCTTTGCTGTCTCTGTCCCAGGACGCAGGACGCAGGACGCAGAGCTGTCACCACTCCCCCACCTTCAGCTCTTGCCTCTTCCATCCTCAGTCCCATTCAAGGATCTCTGGCTTCAGGCAACCACCTCCCCCAAGCCCTGCCCTTCTTCCCTTCTGATGACCTTCTCCATTCATGGTAGCCACTCCCAGGCACCTCCGCCTCCTGCGCCCGAGCCCTGATCGCTCCCTCTGACCTGCAGTTCTGAGTTTCCTGCATCTCCCCTCAGTTCTCTCTAATGCAAGGGGCAGTGACCTGGTAATTGGCTCTGCCAGCCACCTTCCAGCCAGCTGGGGTGTGACAAGGGCCTGGCCATGTGGCCAGTGCTCTGTGTGCCATGTGGCCAGTGCTCTGTGAGCCACGGTCATTTTGATGTTTGTCAACATGGGTGCTGGAACTAGAAATCTGAATGCACTTGAAGCTCTGTTCACAGTGTCACTTTCTTTGCATTTTATCTATCTCAGTGTATTTTTACACACACACAACACACAGTGTCTCCTTCCCACTTCGCCTTCTGATGGAGGTCAGCTGCACCCGCACGGAGCCCCCAATATTTGGTGCACAGGGTTCTCAGGCAGGGCCCACACGTACGTCGGCCCAGCATGTCATCTCATTCCAGAAGAGCTTGTTTCTGCATCACCTCACCTTTTTCCAGGGGAGGGATTCACTGGGTGACAGCAGCCCCTGAGTAAGAAGGGCCTGACCGAGGGCTCACCTTTGCCATGCATGGTGCACGCTTACCTGCCAGGTGGGCTTCTGCGTTCTTATGGGACACCGGGAATAGCAGGGAAGGAGCAGGGTCCCATGCCTCCCATTCAGCACTGCTGAAATGAACTCAGAGATGTCTCTGGATCTCACATAGTAAAACTCCTAAATCCCCAGATCCTTTGGGTTGTTTTATAATGAATGTTACTACAGACTGAACTCAGGCTCCAGTGGGAGGAGGACAGAATGATATTTTGGTGGAGTCATGTGCTGGAAAAGCAAGGGTCACTCAGTCTCATTCTGAGGCTTTAAACACATACTGACCTTTGGCTGCATTCCCTAAAACCAATCCTCATCCCCAGCCACAGGCTTCTAAAGCCAGCCTGCCCCAGCCCTGTTGTACCTGCTTGGGGTTTGGGTGGAGGCAGAGGCTTGCTCATTTGCCCTGTACCTGGAGAGGCCACAAAGCAGTGCTCATCCACAGCAGCACATTCCTGCTCACTGAGGAACACGGTCCCTGTAGAATTGGACATGGGACATTGTTCCAAGCTCTCTCGCCATCTGCTCCTTTCGAGAGATGGATGAGAACAGGCCGGGCTCCCCGGAGCGGGTGTGCTTCCTGGGAGTCACAGGGCTGCTGCTGTGTGGCTTCTCCGTGCTTTTTCCAAATGCCATGTTGTGATCAAATGCAGGGGAGGGGTGAGACACAGAGGGTCTTAGGCCGAAGGAAACCTATGCTTGTTAGTCCCGATGGCCTCATTTTGTGCATAAGGAAGTTGGGGTGCAGAAAGGATGAAGCCGATGGCCCAGCACTGGGAGGATGCACTGAAATCATGCTTCCTGCAGAGCGGGGGATGTGCATTTGCCGTTTTCTTTTTTCTTCTTTTTCATACTTTCAGTTCTGGGGTACATGTGCAGAACGTGCAGGTTTGTTACGTGGGTGTACACATGCCATAGCGGTTTACTGCATCCATCACCCCGTCACCTACATTAGGTATTTCTCCTAATGCTGTCCCTCCCCAATCCCCCCACCCACTGATATCCCTCCCCTCGTCCCCCACCCTTTGCAGGGACATGGATAAAGCTGGAAACCATCATTCTCAACAATCTGACACAAGAACAGAAAACCAAACACCTCATGTTCTCACTCATAAGTGGGTGTTGAACAATGAAAACACATGGACACATCCAGGGAACATCACTCACCAGGGCATTTGCCATTTTCTTCTGGCTCACCCCATCCATGGATAAATGTTCCTTCACTGCATTCGGTGATTTTGTGGCTCATGGGTGTCACGTAGTGGGACAGCTGAGCCTTTAGTTAATGAGTAGGCGTCTGGGCCGTAATTGAATGCTGGGTCCTTAGTGGTGGTTTTCATTAGTTGATGACACATTTAGTTTCTTTAAAACATTAATCATTACCAAAGTTCAATAATTTTTTGAATTAAGATACACACCTGTGTCTCTGCTATAGAATTCAGTAGTAACGTGAGTCCCACCAAATGAGAAGGGACTGAGGTATGCCATGATGTAATAGAGAAGGAACTGAAAAGAGGAGAGGCGCTTGGTGCATTCAGCCCACGCGTTCAGGATCACGGCTTGTCTTGGACAGATCAAGAGCTGGGGGAGGCCCTCATGCCGAGACCATGCCAGCAGATGTTCACCCAGTGCATGTTGACTGATTGCTCAAGATTCAGACGTGGGAGCAGGCTTCGGAACGTGCCAGAGGATGTCATAGTCACCACTCTCTGCAGTGTCTGGGGCCCGGACAGGGAGCGGATAAACTCCCGTGAGAACCGTGGACACCTTTGTCTCTTTCACCTTCTGCAGAAGTGAGCTCTGGCTGCTGCATTAAAATACACAGACTCAGGGCCTTAGCTGCAGAGACTTACCTCACACGGTCCTGGTGCACGTCCAAGATCAGGGTGTCGGCAGCTTTGGTTTCTGATGAGATCCTTCCTGGGCCTGCAGGTGGCCACTTGCTCCCCACGTCCTCATGGGGCCTCTCCTCTGGGTCATGTGTTCTTGGTCTTTCCCAGACACCAGACCCCGCTCTTATAACCTCATTAATGTCAGTGACCCCCAGATACAGTTACTTTGGGGGTTCAGGCTTCAATATTGGGGAGGGGCCGAATTCAGCCCAAACACCTTCCTGACCTGCTTTTTAGTTTTTGAGTCAGAGTCTGTCGCCCAGATTGGAGTGCAGTGGCACCATCTTGGTTTACTGCAACCTCCACCTCCCGGGTTCAAGTGATTCTCCTGCCTCAGCTTCCCGAGTAGCTGGGATTACAGGTGTGCGCCACTGCACCTGCCTAATTTTTGTGTTTTTAGTAGAGACGGTTTCACTCCTCCCCGGGCAGGTGTTTTCTCAGAATGACTTCCTCAGGTAGAGATATCAGAAGAAAGAATGGTCTCCGTCCTCCCTCCTCCCTCCTCCCTCCTCCCTCCTCCCTCTCTCTGTTCACGTCTGTGTGTGTGGATAGCCTCCAAAAGTTTCTTATCTTCCTTCCTACAGCCTATTACTATGGAAAGAGAAAGAAGATCTCCAAGCCCCCCATTGGAGAAAGCAACCCCGACAGCGGACACCCCAAACCCACGAGGCGGAGGAAGCGACGGAAATCCATTTTCGTGCAGAAGAAACGGAGGTCTTCCGCCATGGACTTCACGGCGGGCTCGGGGGAGGTATGTACTGCCCGGGCACCCTCCAGCCTGTGGCTCTGCCATCTGGCCCTGGCCGGCAGGTGTGGCTGCTTCATGGCAGAGGTGGCTCTGGAGATTGCGGCAGGATGGTCAGAAACACCGAAGAAGGCACCCCCTCCTCCTTACTTACTGGAAACGAATGTAGCGTGTCCAGCTGCTTTGGCTGGGAAGGGACCTCATAGGGCCCATGGGTGGGACCATCAGCTCCAGTTTAGAGGCCACGTGGGACAGGGCTTTTAAGGGTTCTGCACTGGGCCCAGGGTCTGACCGCGGGGACCCCCTGCCGCCAGCCCCATAAAATGCCTTTTTCTTCTTCTCAGGAAAGTGAGGAGGAGGACGCTGACGCTATGGACGACGACACCGTCAGTGAGGAGACCGGCTCCGAGCTCCGGGATGACCAGACAGACACCTCGTCAGCGGAGGTGCCCTCGGCCCGGCCCCGGAGGGCTGTCACCCTGCGGAGTGGCTCAGAGACCCCACGCCCGCCACCCCCGGAGAGGACACGAAGGGGCCGCAGGGCGCCGGCCGCCTCCTCTGTGGAGGAAGGGGAGAAGTGCCCGCCGGCCAAGCCCGAGGGGACAGAGGTGACGCCCGGGCCTGGGGGCAGAGGGGTTCCCACTGGGTCTGAAGAAGCACACATGTTACATTCAGGGCCACGATGCCAGGAAACCTGTTTAAAATGCCTCCAGTGGCAGCACCTGCTGTAGCTTATTCCCAAGTCAGGAACAGAGGCTGGTGCTTCACCTCTGGGTGCAGGGGACTTTCACCATCAGAATGCAGCTCCCAGGGTGGAGGTACATCTCTTTCCTGGACGGCTTTAGTGCCACCTCGGTGCTTGTCAGGAGGAAGGCATAGTCCTTGGGTTCCTTTGAACTCCTGGTTTCCAGAGCTTCCTTCCTTGCATCTCCCATACTGCCCTGTGTCATGCTCCCGCATCCCCTCTACAGTGCATCTCTGATGTAAAGTATTTAATCACGGTTTAGGTCTCCCCTAGCCCAGTGGGTGGTGTGAGATCAGCAGAAAGGGTCACTGGCACCACCATTACAGAAACATTGCGTGAGCTCTCTCGTGCCCTCTTGGACGTGCCCCTGGTATTTCTCCTCTTTTCACTAAGCAGAGACACTTTGTTCATAAGCAGCCCCAAGGTTTCCTGAACTAGGGATGCAGAGCGACTGTCCCTGTGCCTGCCTTCTTCCCTCTGACGGCACATGAGACATCGCAGGGGCATCATCACGGAGTGAAGAATTTTCCCAGGAACTGAGAGTGTGGGTAGTTTGTTCAGGTGCCCAGTGAGGGAGGAAAGGGAGGCAGTTGCTCCTGGCCAGGAGCGACCGAGGCCTGGAGAGTGCCGGAGAGGACCCAGCCAACTGACAGTGCCTCAGCTGAGCTTCTCCTGCCATTTCTCTGCAGGACGCGAAACAAGAGGAGGAGGAGAGACTGGTTCTGGAGAGCAACCCCTTGGAGTGGACGGTCACCGACGTGGTGAGGTTCATTAAGCTGACGGACTGTGCCCCCTTGGCCAAGATATTTCAGGAGCAGGTACAGTGGCTTGCCGCGTGTCAATGGTTTGATGTGCTGAGACTCTGGTTCTGAAATGAACCACCTGTCCCAGCCAGCTTCCTTGTGATACCTGCATGGGGGTCCCTTGGCACTGCTGGGCAGGTAGTGAGACCCGGCTCCCTCCGAGGTCCCTGCTGAGGGTCTCCTGGCAGGGAAGAGAGAAAGCCTCATTCCTGCTCCTCACTCGGCCCACCAGTGCCACAGCGGGGGGCGAAGGGTGACTCTCCCAGGTCTAGTGCGAGTCAACGCTCCCCTGCCATCTCTGCCAACCCTACGATTGGGGCTCTTTACCACCACGCAGGGGTGAGACTCTCAGTCCCTGCTGCCTGGCCCTTTCAGATGCCACCTCGGTGGTGATATGGGGCACCCAGTTGCCCCCTGGCCAGGCTGGAAGTGAGGGTGGCTCACTCTGCCTTGGCTGCTGTCCGTGGGGCCCAGCCAGCCCTCCCTATGGTGTTTGGCTGCAGAAGAGACACTGCCATCTCTTAGCTTTTTGTCTTGTTGGGCTGCCCCTTGGCCAGCCGGCTTTGGTTGAGCCCCTTGTCGGTGCCTTTTGGCAAATCTGTTTTCCAAGTCTCCGGTGCGTGAAGCTCACACACAAACAACAAAAACAACCCGAGCTCAGCACATGCCGTCAGCTGGGGTCCCAGGCCCCTGACTGCTCTGCTGGCCTCTCTTCTTCCAGAGACTCCCTTCCAGAGGCTTCTGTTTGTAGATTTCTATCTAATGCCCACAGGTCTTACTTATGCCTAGTGGGAGAAGGAGGCAACAGGGTGTCTACCTGGCCTGCCCAGAGTGGAAGCCCTGGACCCGTGTGTTGTTTTGAATGCCGCTTTCATCATCGTTTTCTTACCTTCCTCTGCACGAAATATACTCTTCTTTCTTTTATTATTATTATTAATTATATTTTACATTCTGGGGCACATGTGCAGATTGTGCAGGATTGTTCCAAAGGTATACACATGCCATGGTGGTTTGCTGCCTCCATCTCTCCATCATCTACATTAGGAATTTCTGCTAATGTTATCCCTCCCCAATTCCCCCACCCTCTTCTATGCGTCCTCTAGTCCCCCCAACCCCCAACAGGCCCCAGTGTGTGATATTTCCCTCCCTGTGTCCATGTGTTCTCATTGTTCAACATCCACTTATGAGTGAGAACATGTAGTGTTTTGTTTTGTGTTCTTGTGTCAGTTTGCTGAGAATGATGGTTTCCAGCTTCATCCATGTCCCTGCAAAGGACCTGAACTCATCCGTTTTTATAGCTGCATCGTATTCCATGGTGTATATGTGCCATGTTTTCTTTAAGCCCACATAGCTAAGACAATCATAAGCAAAAAAAAAAATTAAAAAAATTAAAAATAAATAAAGCTGGAGGCATTGCGCTACCTGACTTCAAACTATACTACAAGGCTACAGTAATCAAAACAGCATGGTACTGGTACTCAAACAGAGATATAGACCAATGGAACAGAACAGAGACCTCGGAAATATTCTCTTCTTTCTACATAAAATATTTTTAAGACCATGGTATGATGATGGACAAACACAATAATGTTAATTTCTACCTTAAAGGAGTCTATAGGCCAGCAGATGAAATGAGTATACTTAGCTGAAACATAAGACATATGATGACGTGTCATAAGGAAAAACCCTTAAATTAATATAAAAACAAGTTGCCACTCTCTCTACATGTACCAGCTTGCACCCTGCTTCACTGGCTTTGCAGAAAATGCCAGACTCTTGCTCTGTTCTTTGCTTAACTTGTTGAAGTTTTTTGCATTGTCCTGGTGTAAATATCTGTGTTTGAAGACCTCACGTTAAAAAAAAATACTGTCACACACTGCCATGTGTGTACCTATGCAACTGTATTGCATGCTCTGCACATGTACCCCAAAACCTAAAATGCAATAAAAAAAAATCACCTAAAAAAAATACTGTTTTTCATATAATAAATTTAAAGATAGCTTTATTCAGTGTCTTTTTAGATCATACAAACCAGTAATCTAGAAAGAGGATATTTCTAGCATTAAATCAGGAAGCATAAAAGGTCTGTGACTTCCCACGCACCCAGGAGATTTCCCAGCTTTCCTCCAACATTCATGCAGTGATGAACTGAAAAAATCAAATTACTGTGGTCCCCAGTGCCACCCGAGGGAGTAGTTCTTGTCATTCAAAGTTGTTTCCCCTGCATCCCAAGAAGTCCAAGCGATGAAGTTCATCCTGTTGGTGACCACTAGAACCTTCTGCAGACACCCACTGAGTTCATGCTGAAAGAATGATTAGGCCGGGCATGGTGGCTCAGGCCTGTAATCCCAACACTTTGGGAGGCCAAGGCAGGCAGATCACTGGAGGTCAGGAGTTCAAGACCAGCCTGGCTAACATGGTAAAACTCTGTCTCTGCTAAAAAAAAAAAAAAAAATTAGCCAGGTGTGGTGGGCACCTGTAATCCCAGCTATTTGAGAGGCTGATGCAGGAGAATCACTTGAAAACCTGGGAGGCGGAGGTTGCAGTGAGCCAAGATCGTACCACTGCACTCCAGCCTGGGTGACAGAGCAAGACTCCATCTCAAAAACAAACTTAGAATGATTGGAAGCAGAGGGAGTCTCCTCCTGACCTGACGCTGGCCGCCCTTCCTGTCTAGGCAACTCTGAAAAGCAACCAGGGAGAGGCTTCCTTACACCTAAAGAAACTGGGTGATGAGCTTGTCCCTTTGAAGAACACACAAACAGGAAAGAAAGGCAATTCTAAGAGGTGCAAGGACTTAGGTGGTCGGGGGCTTATTGATTAGCCATGTCTCCATCTTGAAAACAAAAATAAAGCAATAGATTGAAATCCCGTGTAAAGTGTTGGCCAACACAGTACTTCTCCTGTCTGGTATATATTGACGGCGGTGCTGCGGTGAGAAAAGCGTTATATTCAAATACATGACACGTGCTGATCACGCAGGTTTGGTTGTGTAACTGTCGGTGCCTTTGTGCATTCGACATACACAGATTCAGTCCCTGCAAGGTGCCTTCCAACAGCTAAAGATACGAGGTATGGCGTTCTGTTAGTCTAATGTTTTGGTTTTACTTTTCGGCTCAAAGGCTTAGTTTTAACAAAACAAAAAAGAAGTTTAATTAGGCCTGAATGAAGAGCAGATTTCTCATTTCTAGATTCCAGGTTTGGTATGAGGGCTTACACCTTGAAACGTGAATAGCTCCTGTGTCTGTCTACAAGTGAAACAAAGCTGGTCGGGGAAAAGTATTCAGTCTTCCTTTCCTATATTTCTAAACCCAGCTGATAACACCAGAGAAAAGTTTCATGCCTTCCCTAAGCTCAGTCTTCTAGGAAATGGAACACCACTGACAACATCCCCCTTGTAGAATCAAGTGGCTCTTATTTTATTTTATTTATTTATTTTTTTGAAACGGAGTTTCGCTCTTGTTGCCCAGGCTGGAGTGCAGTGGCACGGTCTCAGCTCACTGCAACCTCTGCCTCCAGAGTAGCTGGAATTTCACCACGGCCAGCTAGTTTTTGTATTTTCAGTAGAGACAGAGTTTAGCCCTGCTGCTCTTCTAATATCAGTGAAAGCCTTGCCCTTCATCCCTACTTTTTTTCGTTCTGAGAGAGAAACATGGGTGGGTTTTCGCTGAGCACCGTCTCATTCCTGTGTGATTTCACGTTAGGCAGGTTCACCTGTTGGAATCCAAAGCCATTGCCCACTGGGCTGTCTGGAGTACATGGCACTTGAGTCCTTTTCTGTCCCATCACACCTTTCCTAACTAATTTTTAGTAATTTGTTCATCATCATTTAGCCCAAATACTCCAGCTCTGACTTGGTGAGGCCTCCAGCAGGTTACTGCAGGCATTGTCTGAGATTTTGGATAAGCTCGAAGGAACCCGGAGACTTTATTCACTGGCATGTGAATGAGACCACAGTGCGTAGCGTGATCATCTCTCTCTGTGCACGTGCCCTGAATGTTATAAATGCAGAGATTATTGTAATCACTAGGAGCATTTGCAAAAATTATAAACTCCCCATTACCAGCATCTCTACCTATTTCTGAAATGTTATGGCAACTGTTTAAAAGTTCTATAGCCCGTCATTTAATGCTGCAAACCTGTACATCACACAGTAAAAATCCACTCATCCATAACTAAGAACACAGAAAACTCTAAATAAAATTTTACCTATTCATTCCGCTTTCATCAGTCAGTGACAGGATGATAAGTAGACCGTCCAAGTGATCAATTGGACTTAATGAAAAACATCTCGGGGTAGTTAATAGGCTTAGTCCAGATGAAGCTGCCCTTACTGACTTCTCCAGACCTGAATACCCGCATTGGGAGCTACCAAGTCCTCACTTGAATGCTCTATCAAAATAGATTGAGTTTTGCCCTCTGCTAAGCATGTTATATATCCCATCATATTTCATTTCTTTACAATTAGTCCATTTTATGGTAATTCTGTATTTAACGTTAAAAGTGACCTGCCAGCAACTCTCAGTTACATAGGAGTTTTTATATGTTTATAAAAATTAAATCATCTGTGAGCTATGCTATGCTGTTACCTAAATAATCCTTGAAAGAAAAAATAGTCTTTCAAATAAAGTGGCTTTCTGGGCTTGTCACGATTTTACCTTAGATTTCTCCCCAGTTTCCTGGAATTATACGTTCCAGGGAACTACCTGTGTTCTTTCAGTCCCTCTTGGCCTTAATAATTGCCACTGTTCCCTGACATCTCAGTTGGAAGCCCTTTTGATGCCCCTGTTAGGCTGTCGTGGTTGCCTGTCCTCTTTGAGGCCTTAGCTCTGCAGCCATATGTTAATATCCTTGTACCCTAATGGTCTATTTATTTGTCTGCTGCCCTTCAGATTCATGGGGTGTCCAGAGACGGAACCTTTCCTTCATTCACTGTGATGTTCCCCAGAAGCCAGCCGAGTGCCTGCCACTTAGTAGATGCTCAATAAGTATTGAAAGTCAATAAATGAGTGTGTGCACCTGCACTTTTAAATGGGGCACATGCACCGGCCACCTTCAGTGTGATTTTCTGTAGAGAAAAAGCGACATAAAGATTTTAGTGCTGATATTCAGTGGAGACTGAATCCCCGTCATGACCAAGTTAAAGATGTTAAGGACTGAGCTACAGTTTTCCCTTCAAAGTTTAATGTCAGAGAACGACAGTTCTGATTCCAACGCTGTCTCTAACTAGCTCTGTGATCGTAGTTAGATCGGCCAGCTTTTCCGGGCGTGAATTTTCACCAGGAAAGTAAACTTCCTGGTGAAAGTAAAATAAGTTTTATTTCTATTCTGTGCTGTTCTGTGGATGTCAGTGAACTTAATGGTTAAGCCACCTGTCCACGGTATAACGACATCCACAGAGCAGAATAAAATGGAGCATCAGCCCCCTGCCTACTTAAAATGTGTTTTTAAGAGGCCCATGATACTTAGAAGACTGTGGGTGCCTGTGCCTATGCCCTCTCGGTCTGTTTGGATACGCTGTGTGTGGACTTGGCTCTGAAATGGAATTGCCCAACAGGCCTCAAGCCAGAGGTCCCCTTGGTTTCTTTGCGACCTAGAGCCAAACACTATTTCACGGTACCCCCAGAACCCCCCCAAATCCCCCCAACTACCATCAGTGGCATCTGAAAAGAAAGTAAAATAACACGTGCAGGCACCATAGAGAAAGGGAAAATGGTCTCAGCATAGCATGAAAACATGGTGACAGTTTTCTGTCGTTTGTCTCCCACCTTTAGTATGTGTACAAGACAGATCTGTTTACTTGGTGGTTTGATAAGGTCACCTTTGCGTCCTGGTCGAGCGTGGCTTCGAATTGCTTACATCATAGCTGGTGCTCATCTGTAATTTAAAAATAAAAAATGACATGCGTATCGATATTTCAAAGTTAATGTTTCATCTTTATTGCTGCGGTACTTACTAGGGAATATTGTTGCTTTCGAATCTGATCCGAAGATAAATTATTCCTCCTCTTAACATTCGTCTTTTATCTGATCAGATGACGAATTAAGCTTGCTTAGAAAATTAGTCTGCTCAAGGCTACCATTTATACACACTTCGACTTTTTGCCTTAGATATTTTCAAGACAGCTAAATAAACCATTAGTTTAAGAAAATAAGCTGCCTGTGCGAAAGTCACTGATAGGTGTTGTCTGAGACATACGGTCTTGTGCTGTGGCTTGGCTATTAACGTCCTTGTGGCTTATGGCAGCCCGGGGAATAATTCTTCTGCAAGTGGCAGAAATTCCAGTATGCGGAGCTCACTTAGTGCTCTCATCCTACCACTGATCTTCATCACTCTCTTTCAGCCTCAGTGACTCCCTCTGGTCTATTGAGATCATCTCGGTAAATAGGAAGGAGGATTGCGGTTAAACTCAGCAGTCCAGTCAAATGACATCTACGTGAATGAACCAGATGACTATAGGAAGCAAGCTGCCGAAGAGACAGCTGTCCAGTGAAGGGTCTTAGAGCTTTGGAAGTGAGTCTCTGTATGCTTCCTCCTGCAAGAAGCAAATCAACTGAACGTTCATCGAATGAATCTCTTCATACCCTGTGTGTAGGTAGAGAAGGGCTGAGCAGGATACATGGGAACAACAGATCTATGTACAAGGAACACCTTGCTCTGGGCAATGTGTGTCTGTAAATGGGGTGTGTGTGTGTGTGTGTGTGTGTGTGTGTGTGTGTGTGTCTGTCTGTCTGACTGTCTGTGTGCGTCTGTCTGTGTGGGTTTTCCTTTATGGAAAACCGTGCTGTGTCATTGGCATTATCGGTCTTGAGCATCTTCTCACTCATTCTGACAGTAAAATGCCAAACCTTGGCAGGGAGGTGAAGGAGCCTTGTCTTTTAGTAGCAATCCCTTTGCTTAGTGCTGCGATGAAGTCTCAGCATAGCTTAGGGAGCACCTGGCCCAGCCTGGGGTGGAGGGTGAGTTGCTCTCCCAGCAAAAGGCGATAAGCTCAGGAAGCAGTTCCCACAGCAGCCTGCCTGTTTCAGCTCTTTCTACCCACCGGGGTAGGTGTGTGAATTTCAGAGCAGCCGGAATGCCCTCAGCCAAAAGCCCTTGTCTTTGTATTGTTGATTTTGTTTTTGTTGTTTAGGGACTGTCCAGCTTTGTTGCCCAGGCTGGAGGGCAGTGGTGTGATCACAGCTCACTGCAACCTCAAACTCCTGGGCTCAGGTGATCCTCCCGTCTCAGCCTCTGAGTAGCTGGGATCACAGGTTTGTGTCACCATGCCCAGCTAATTTTTAAATTTTTTGTAGAGACAGTATCTCGCTGTATTGCCCAGGCTGGTCTCAAACTCCTGGTCTCAAGCAATCCTCCCTCCTTAACCTCCCAAAGTACTGGAATTATAGGCATGAGCCACTGTGCCCAGTTGCAGAAAGATTTCAGTAACACAAAGATGAGACTGTCATCAAGCCAGGTAGGTATCTCTGCCAACAGTCCCCGAATTGAATGAAACAAGAGTGTCCTTTTCTCACGTTTGGCCCCAGGATGGAGCCTGCTGTGGCAGGTGCATCCCTCCGTGCACGCTGCCCTTTCTTAACCTGCCTTTCTTTTCCTGCAGGACATTGACGGCCAAGCACTCCTGCTTCTGACCCTGCCAACGGTGCAGGAGTGCATGGAGCTGAAGCTGGGGCCTGCCATCAAGTTATGCCACCAGATTGAGAGAGTCAAAGTGGCTTTCTACGCCCAGTACGCCAACTGAGTCTGCCCTTGGGAGGTGGCCCATTGTTGCTGGGATGCGGTGTTGGTAAAGGTTACCAGGACTGAAACTTTGATTTCCAGGATATGTTACATGGTACGGACACTGAGTATCACCAGAAAGCCAGAAGCCCAGGATCTCCTGCCTCTGCCAGCCTGTGAGCTGTTTCCACGTTTTCAAAGCACAGTGAGGCACTGCAGACATCGCTTCTGGGGAGTGCATCGGCCTCTGAGGGGATGTGGGCCTGCTTCTTTGTTCACCCACATTTTGCCTTTCTGCCACCACAAACCAGGCGTCTCCCTTGGAGCCAGGTTTCTTAAAAGGAGGCCTGCATTCTTTGAAAACTAGGAATGTCACCAAGGAAGAAACCTCACTCCATGCCATAGAGCTTCCTGTAATGAAACGGGCACATCTATTGACGCTGTTTCCTACGGATAGGTGTGTGACACTGGTCAAGTGGCACTGACGATTTCATCTTGGTGGCAACTCCTTTCTCTAACACAGCTGGCAGCAATGTCCTTATGAAAAGATGTGCTAAAGCTCTGTCCTCTGTTAGAAGTGCTGCTTGGGAATACGGGCAGTGAAAGAGGCCGGTGGGCTTCTCCATGCAACTGGATGATCTGTTCATTGTGTTGCGTTTTTAGAGACAGAGTCTTGCTCTGTCGCCCAGGCTGGAGTGCAGTGGCATGATCTCAGCTCACTGCAACCTCTGCCTCCTGAGTTCAAGTGATTCTCCTGCCCCGGCCTCCCAAGTAGCTGGGATTACAGGCTCCCACCACCGTGCCCAGCTAATTTTTGTATTTTTCTTAGAGACGAGGTTTCACCATGTTGGCCAGGCTGGTCTCGAACTCCTGACATCAAGTGATCTGCCCACATCAGCCTCCCAATGTGCTGGGATCACAGGCATGAGCCACCACGCCCGGTCCAACTGGATGGCTATTGATTGAAACCTAGAATATCTGTAGAGACAAACTCTACCCAGTCTTTTCTAGACCCTCAACTATCTCCACTGTTGTAGTTTAATTGTAGCCAAATAAGAGAATGAGTCTTTTAGGCAAATGTTGGATCATATATCGAAGGAGAAGCTTAATTTCAGAGAGCAGGAAGGGAAAGAGATGTGGGGGAAGCGTTCCTTGAACCAGCTACACCCCCTGAGAAAGATCACTGCAGCGTCACTGAGCAGGAGTCCCTCTGAGCATCCCTTCTGTCTTGTTCTGCCCCAGCTGGCCTCATATGCACCAGGCACAATGCAGCCTGAGCACTGAATCTGGAGTCAGCCGCTTGGCACCCGGGTTTTCCTGAGAACTAACTCTGAGATCTTGGGTGACTTCTTATCACTCTGGACCTCGGTTCCTATGAAGTGACAGGTGTGGACACCGAGGGTCTGGGGGCAAGCATGCTGTCTCCTGCTGGCATTCATCCTGCTCATGAAGGAAAGGAAGATCCAGATTGACCAAAAACGACAAAAAGAAAGAAGTGATTCCCAGTTCTAACCCTGCCGTCCTGTAGCTCCTTCTGGCTTTGAGTTTGCTCGTGGAATTTCTCGGGCAGTTCTGTTAAATCTGCCAGGTCACGTGCAGACGTATCTGTGGCTGTGGGAGTTGGCTGGCCTCTTGGACCGGTGCCAGGTCACGTGCAGACGTATCTGTGGCTGTGGGAGTTGGCTGGCCTCTTGGACCGGTGCCAATCTCCATATCCTCATGAGTGATTCGGGATCTACACGCAGACCCCGCGGACTACAGGGTCCCGCTCTGGCGGCTGCCTAGATGCCTTTTTAAACTTATGCAAGGAAACCAAACCCTCCCATGGTTCCTGAGCAGATGCCGGAAGCAGAGGTTTTGCAGCCTTCCTGCTTTTCCACCATAATTACCTTGAGCTCGTCCCTTGGACTGGAGTCTCCACAGTTGCAGTAAAATCCTGTGGTGGGCTAATGAGCTGCTTGCATTTCTGTGACGTTTTCAGATACGATCCTTGGTGGGATTTTTGGAAACTTTGATTGCTCAAGCTCACCCTTCTTCACATTCTGTAATGGTAGATGAGATACTTTATGGATGAGGCTTTCTGGTCTCCCCTGCAGCCGAGTTCTATAATCCAGTTTTAGAGTTTGGCTGGTGGATGTGCCTGGGGGCCTCGGATGGGAGGAGTGTGACATCTGTGCCGGGACAGAGACATCTCTGGGATCCGTGGTTGGCTTGCCTCGGGCAGCTCTCCTTCGAAGCTCAAGTTCTGACCTCTCTGCGGTTCTCCACCCACCCCTGCCTTCTCAGCCACATGCTTTTGGCCTTAAACGCTCTGTCTGTGGAGTTAAACCCTGTCAGATGATTGGAAGGGGCATCCATTTCCAGACCTTTGGCATTCTCCCCGTGCCGACTCCTTGATCCTTCACCATGGCCTTTTCAAGCTGAGCTGTTTCTGTTGTATTTGAGACAAGGATGAGGGAACGTGGTGGCCACAACAGAACAGGGACTTGCAGAACGAATGCCACTTCCGTCTCCCTTCTCAGTGGTGGCACGGAGAGGATGTGCTGCATTGGAGGGAGGAGATCCTCTGGGTGGGGGGTCTCCGGAGCCCACCCAGAGAGCTGGAATATGACCCACCAGGAGCCCAAGAAGGAGGCGGCCACTGTCTCTGGGGAAAGAATTTGCTTCCCATGGGGCCAAGTGTCCAAGACTCTCTGTGTCCTTCACCTGTAGTTAACTTCAGTGCTTCTCTGTGCAGTTGCAGTCACCGTGGGTGCCCATTCTGTGTGTGTGTGCCAGGGAGGAGATGGCTGTGGCCACGGCACAGGAGGGCACAGCCTGGCGTCACCATGACGGTTGTCTCTATGCCATCTCTCTGGTCCTTGAGGAGAGCCCAGAGGGATTTTAGGAGCGAGGAGGTGCTGATGCTGCAGGTGTTGCCAGTGTCCTTCGAGCTTGGATTCTTGGGGGATTTCAGTCGCGGTGAGTGGACTTCACCCCAGCAGCAATTCTGGTACAGAACTGTAATGTGTTTTCACGTCTCTGTAGGATTCACCTCTCACTCGCGTCTGTCTTAAAGATAGGGCCAATTTCATGGAGCATTTTTCTCTATGTGTCCTTGTTGCTTTTGGCAGAAAAAGTAGATTTGACATGTGTGCCCCAATGTCACCATAGTCCCTAGGCCAAAAATGTCATGGTCTAAACACGAAGAAGTGATTCCTCACATTCCTTCCCTGGATGGTACCATTTCTTCACCGTCTCTCCTTGATGATCCTTTGGGACCAAAGTCCTCTCCTGTGTCCTCTCCAAAGCCCCACATCCTGTGGAACGCCACGGGAACTGGCCCAGCAGACTCTACCATCTGCGCCCTGTGGAAACCCTGAGAAAGAGACGCCACCTGCACTTGAATCGCGACAGCCCGTCACGCAGTCTCACCCTAAGCTGACGGAGCTTGTTTCGGCTCCTCGCTTCTTGACTGCTGTAGTACCATGTTGAAGAAATCCTGCCCACAAAAACCCAAACCTAACAACTAGAAAAGGAACCGGGTACTGCTGGCATCACAGAACTCCTTTGCCTTTCAAAACAAAAGCAAAGCCCCATTAACGTCACCACAGAGCTTCACAGCATGGGGAACTCAGCCTTCCCTTTAAAATTAGAGTCATTGGATCCAAGTTTGAGTCGGACACAGTATTTGAGCTGCGCGGCTTCTGGGTTCTCCCACCTTATTTGATCATATTTGAAAGACTAGTTCCCGTGTTTACTTAGATTTGTTCCTCAGTACGAGTACGTTAAGATAACCCGCACCTTGAACGCTGCTCCTGTGACCTTTACTGCCCTCTCTAGAGGGTCGATTTTGATGAGCCTTTTGAAGATGGGTGTCGTTTCCCTAATTTACCCCACAGGACTTTGAGCGTTGTCTTCGGCCAAACACCCCTTTCTAAGAGCTGTGCCCCCTTCCTTTTAGAAGCACTAGGGGTTTTCATGCTTATTTTATAGACCACCCGTTTATATTTATTTCTGTATATAGAAGTAAAACAGTGTTAAAAGTCTTTGTTGTGGTTTGAGCATCTTGGCTGCTTGGATTAAGGTGTGAATCAAGGCTCCGCTTCCTCTCTTTTCGGTCTTTAGAAAGCTGTGATCGCGCGTGCAGTTATTTGAAGGGAAACATAGTAAATTAAGAAACGTGTAGTTGTTAAGGAAGAAACTGTTGGCGAGATATCCATCCTGCTCGTATCTCGTGGGTGCAATAATTAAGTAGCAAGGGAAATCCCTATTGGCAACTATTCGAATTTAATAATTCTTTTTTGTTTATTGCTCTTTTCTGTTCAAGCGTTTTCTGGAAATTACTTCCTTTCATGGGGTTGAATTCTCAAGTTGACTAATTCTCACGGCTCTTATCTCTAGAAGGGTTTACAGAAACCCCAAACATACTATGATAAAATCAAATTGTGCTACTTTTGACCCATGTGATTTATCTAAAAATTATAACTGCTGACATAGAGTGCTGCCTTGAATTTTGGTTCAGAACCTCTCTAGTTTAAACAATCCCATGTTGTTTGAGGAAGGGGCCATAACCCTTCTGTACTGTTGGCGTTAAGTAATGAGAATTTGGTCCCAGTGAGTATGAACGTTGTACCGCTAACCAAGGCAGAGCAGTGCTTTCTGTGTGGCTGAAGAGATGTGCTAGCAAAAGAATGAATATTCTAGAACAATCGTTGGCTAAAAATCGCCTTAGGATAAAAAAATTGAGGCAAATTTTTTAAATGACAGAAAAAATACTCATCTCACTTGTTTGAAACAGAAGCTAGCACGATCTCTAGAAGCATAAACTATCCCTCGTCGTGAATGTTGAAAGCCCTTTCACTGTTTTGCATTCTAGTTTGAATAGTTTGTATTGAGATTGGATTCCTTTCTTGTGTATGTTTTGGTGCATAAAAGGGAAAAATTGGTGTCGTTACTTTTGAAATTTGCAGGACGAAGGGCATGCTGTTGGTTTGCTGTAAGATTGTATTCTGTATATATGTTTTCATGTAAATAAATGAAAATCTATATCAGAGTTATATTTTAATTTTTATTCTAAATGAAAAAAACCCTTTTTACTTGAAAAAAACTTGTAAGCCACATTGTTAATAAAGTAAACATAAATTCTATGGTGGTGTTTGGGTTTTTATGTTGAAGGTTATTCAATATTATCTTTAGCATCTGCGTTAGTTATTTTGTTCTGAAGTTTTTGTTTACAATAGCAAAGACTTGGAACCAACCCAAATGCCCATCAGAGATAAACTGAACAAGCAAAATGTGGCACATATACACCATGGAATACTATGCAGCCATAAAAAAGGATGAGTTCATGTCCTTTGCAGGGACATAGATGAATCTGGAAGCCATCATTCTCAGCAAACTGACACAAGAACAGAAAACCAAACACCACATGTTCTCACTCATAAGTAGGTGTTGAACAATGAGAACATATGGACACAGGGAGGGGAACATCACACACGGGGCCTGTTGGGGAATGGGGGCCTAGGGGAGGGATAGCAGAAGGTGCGGGTATTAGGGATGGATAACATTAGGAGAAATCCCTAATGTAGATGACAGGCGGATGGATGCAGCAAACAACCATGGCATGTGTATACTTATGTAACAAAAATCAGTAGAGTTTCAGTAATAATGAACAAAACTTAACTGAAAAAAGATAGTAAAAAATTAGTGGCCGGGCGCGGTGCTCACGCCTGTAATCCCAGCACTTTGGGAGGCCGAGGCGGGTGGATCACGAGGTCAAGAGATCGAGACCATCCTGGTCAACGAGGTGAAACCCCATCTCTGCTAAAAATACAAAAATTAGCTGGGCATGGTGGCACGTGCCTGTAGTCCCAGCTACTCGGGAGGCTGAGACAGGAGAATTGCCTGAACCCAGGAGGCAGAGGTTGCGATGAGCCGAGATTGCGCCATTGCACTCCAGCCTGGGTAACAAGAGCGAAACTCCGTCTAAAAAAAAAAAAAAATTATAAAGTATTTAGAAAACATTTAACAAAATACATGCAAGACTCTTACAGAGAAAAAACATTACAACTTTATTGAAGGACATGTAAAAGACATGAATAAATTAAAAATGATACCCTCGTCTGCATAAACAATAGTATAAAAGAAGCCAATTCTCCCCAGAGTTTTACAAATTTAATTAATACAACTCTAATCAATAGCCTAACAAACTTTTCTCTGGACTTGAATAAGTTAGGTCTAAAATTCATAATGAAGAATAAAAGCTCAAGAATAAGCAAGACAACTTTGAATAGGAAGAATAAGGCAGGAAAATTCCCTTTGCCAAGTTATCAGGGGTGATCAGATAGTGTGATGATGGCACTGATCAGGATAGATGCACACACTAATGAAACCTAATCTTGGCCAGATCGTAGACCTGCACTTGAATGTAAACTTGAAACATGACAGGTGTTCATTTTCTCAAAATCCACCGGATGCAAATAGTTAAAAGGGTGAAGTGGCTGTGTAAATGGGATCATTGTACCTTTCTCTGTGGTTTTAAAAATCTCTCATGTTTTCGCACAAAGCTGTAGGTCATTCATATCCATTGTTCTCTGGTATCCCATTGTAGGAATATACCACAACTGATTTATCTGTCACACACACACACACACACACACCTCTCCCTCTCTCTCTCTCTCTCTCTCTCTCTCTGCTATACTTACTGTCATATACTAGTGCTACGCCAGGAAGAGACTGTTGAGCCATTAGAAGTGAGTCATCTATCTTGGAATCCTTGCTTTCATTATACCTTAGCATTGCATATGTGATCTTTTCCCTTCATCCATGTGCTAACATTGTGTCTGTCCAGCTATACAAGAAGGCCCTTGAGAGGTGATTTTTGGTGTCATTGAATGTTTGCTGAGTTCAGGGTCCTCACTCACAGAATCTCATGTTCTACCCAGTTAGGTGTTCGCATTCCCACGTGAAGAAGCAACGGAAGCCCGAACAATTTGCACAGCTTGCCCAAGATCACACAGCTTGGTCTCACCCTCAACGGGGTACTTAGCAAACAGCTATTGACTGGAGCTGGAAGGGATGTGGTCAAAACCTGAGATGCATGAATAAAAGGAGAAAAAGATGCAGATGGAAAGGTCGGATCAAATGATTTCATCTTAGGAATTCCGGGAGTTTGTCTGGCTAGGAGACAGAAAATAGATGTGAGAAAATCCTTCTCTTCTCACTTCCTTGTTCACCAGGGACGACTGTTTCTACTGTGCTCCCAGCCCCTGGGATCGTGGTGTCCTCATGTTCACTCAGTAACCAAGTGTGCTGACACTGAGTATTTCTATCTGGAACCTGTTGCCATTTAGAATGTCAACTTCTATGACAGTCTAAAGGTCTCGCCCTCCATGGAAGCCGTGCAGATCCCCTTAGCAGCACTAACTGCATTTGAGTGAAAGGCCCCCATGCCACACTTGGAACAAGGCATCCTTTTATGTAATGTAGCATCTGATGAGGAACGGTTGTGGGAGACAAAGTGCTTCTTTTATGGGGACAGGTCCTTATGAAAGATGCAAGAGCAAATGCTTTAGTAGCTCCTCTGGTAGCAGTCTCACCCCAGAGGGGGATGATTATGTTTGTTTTAAGAAAAGAACCTTCCTGAGTGCAGAGGGGGAAAATAAGAGCCGCCAGTAATGCGGATGAGAAATCTGAATGATGGTTAAGTCCGATCGCCAGCAAGTGTGACAACTCCAAGTCATTATCTTAAATCAGAATTCTCCGAGACATGTTGGCCACAACGTGCTCCAACTCCAGAGCAGTGGAGCAAAAATATATCCTAGTAAAACAGCTACAATTTACCACGTATTCACCCTTGCCAGGCACTACCTGTTTCGGTCTTTATTCGGATAATTCGCCCTCCGGAATTTCAATTCCTGCCTTCGACTTCATGTCCTTCTTCCTTGCTTTTCCCTTCCTAGCTCTTGTCACTTTCAAATATGCTATGAGTTGTCCTTATCTATCTTATATATTTTCCATCTTCCCCATCAAAATGTAAGCTCCACGAGGGCAGGTATAATTTGGTCTGGTTTTTTCCTCTTCTGCTCTTTACCATCCAATACAGAGCAGGTGCTCAACTAACGCTTGTTGAATGATTGACTCTGCTGAGATCTTCCCATGAGTTATCTTCTTGGATCATACCACCATTCTTTGAGGTGGGTACCATTTCCCCCACTTACAGCAGAGGAAAATGAGGTTTAGGGAAGTAACTTCTCCATGATCAGAAAGCTTGTTGGGGAGTCTGGATCAGAACTCAAGTCTCTCCAAATTCAGAATGTTCTTATTCGTTCCTCTAAGGGTTATGGAAGGACAAGAGCTCACATTGGAATGATAAGCAGACCCTTTTGTGGAGAGGCGTTTTTCCTCCATTTTCAGAAGGATCAAACTGTATTCTGAGGCATGTAGGGAACTGAATACAATATAGCCTGTTTCTAGTCTAAAAATATCACATCAGTTATATCTATCAGTGCTCTTAAAAACAGTATCTCTTAAGAAAAGCACTTAATTTATCTTCTAGCATGAGTCCTTTGCAGCAAGGTTTGGCAAAAAGGAAGGTGAATGCTATGTGAACTAATATTTATGGAGCAGACGCCATGTGCCAAATTCTTTATAATTACATCCAGACTGTTTATATCATGCAGTCCTGACCACAACCCTGTGAAACGTGCAATCTGAGGTATGTTTCCCTCGTCCATGTGTACCCAGTACCCTGGGCTCATCTTTATCAACAGTATTTATTTCACGTTTCTGGCTACTGACTTACCTTCCTCATGGCGCTGTGCATTTATTGAAGGTAGGCACTATTGCTTGTTCCCTGTTGAATCTTCATAATCTCGCCTGTTGCCTGGCTGGCCCCCAATACTTAATACATGCTTTAAAAAGCAAAATGAATTGACTTGTATGGTGAGGTAGGTAGTAGAGAGCACAGAGGTAGCTGAGCCAAGAGGTGGTTTCTGCTGTGCCTTCAGCCTGGTCTCATGGGGAGCTCTGGGTATGAGTGGCACCACAGAGCATCTCTGAGTAAGATTAATTACACTAAGTCTATTTAAAAATAATTTCCCAGGGATAAGCATCGTGGCTCATGTCCATAGTCCCAGTGCCCTGGAAAGCTGGGACAGGAAAATCACTTAAAGCTAGGAGTTCAAGACCAGCTTGGACAACATAGCAAGACCCTGTCTCTAAAAAATAAAAAATAACTGGGTGTGGTGGTGCCCACCTGTAGTCCCAGACACTTGAGAGGCTGAGGTGGGAGGATCGCCTGAGCCTAGGAGTTGAAGCTGTGGTGAGCTAGGATCTCACCTCTGCACTCCAGCCTGGGTAGCAGCATGAGGCTCTGTGTCCACATAACAATAATCACCATCATCCTCATCATCATGGTCATCATCATCTCACAATGAAAAAGCAGAGTGGAATGAATAAGTCAGGAATGGATGAATACCTTTGTCTTTCCCATGCAGACACATCCTCATTTTGTAAGTGGATCGTATAGACCAAAGCACTCTTGGTCCACTAACTATCCAGAGGATATGAAGCTGAAAGAGATTTTGAAATTTCAAGGAAAACTTACTTCTCAGCACAACGTTTGTTTTAATCTGAAGAAGAGAAGGTGTTTTTTTCACTGATGGATTCCGAGTGCCTCCACTGGGACTTAGTTAATATTGGGAGTGGAAGAGTTTATACTTCTTAAAAAACAGTAGATCGTTCCCCCAATTTTCCTTTAAGTCTTTTCTCAGTTTTTTGGTTTTTGTTGTTGTTTTTTTAATGCAGGGTCTTGCTGTATCGTGCAGGCTGGAGTGCAGTAGTGTGATCTTGGCTCACTGCAACCTCTTTCTCCTGGGTTCAAGTGATTCTCCTGCGTCAGTCTCCCCAGTAACTGGGACTATAGGTGTGCACTACCACACCTGGCTAATTTTTGTATTTTTAGTAGAGACAGGGTTTTACCATGATGGCCAGGCTTATCTCAAACTCCTGGCCTCAGGTGGTCCACCTGCCTAAGCCTCCCAAAGTGCTGGGATTACAAGTGTGAGCCACCACGCACAGCCTCTTTTCTCAATTTTAAAAAGCATGAATAATTGAAGTTGGAGTAACATTTTTAAAAATCTGTTGCAGTTGGGAGTTAGATTATTGCCAGCCTCAGTATGTTCTATGCTGTTTCCAGCTGATTCAAGCATGAAAAAGAGTTTTTATAATATAAACTAATTCACAGTAAATCTTTTTTCTTATCCTTTCCACAGGATATTGTCCAGCTGTCAAATATAAAGTCATTCTACCTAACAGTTTGCTTATTTAAACCTATCACAGATGAATTATTGGCAACAGGGCCGTTAGCAGGTAAACATGGTGCCAGAAGAATTTTAAGGTGGAGATTAGCAAAGTATATGCTGGGATCACTGTCTTAGGAGAACAGCAAGAAAACAGGATTCTGTCTTCAGATAAGTTTGGAAAATACTCTTTCTCATATTCCAAATAGTAGCAGTCATGGTAAAGAAATCTGCTTAGTCAAGTTAACCCAGCAGGTGCAAAACTTATCTAATCATGGAACCCCTTTTCATGTAAAGTACATTAGCTGTGCAAAGAATAAATATTACATAGTGAACGTATTGGGAAATTCTAAACGAGGACAACCCCCTCATTTGATCAGTGAGGAAACTCATCAGATTAGTATTTCAACAATATTTACAGAGTGCCTGATGCTAGCAAAAGTCCTAGGATCTGGTTGTGAGCGTGAACACTCATACATTTAAGGAATTCCCTGGGGTCTAGAAGGAAGAGCTTAGCTCAGAGACAGTGAGGTAGTGGCTGTCAAATATGACAGTGGGGAATATGCAAATGGGCGCACAGGAGAGAAGAAGAGCACACCCTGTTCCGTGAGAGGGGCTGCGCCTGAGCTCAGTGGTCGCCAGGGAGGTCACAGGGATGTGAAAGCTTGAGCTGGGCTTTGTAGGATGAAGAGGAGTCGACCCACTTTGACCCTCTGCTCTGCCTAAGGGCCTCAGTGGGTCAACTCCTCTATATCCTGCGAAGATCCTTCTCATCTTTTGAGAACCAACTCGGACATCCCCTCTGGGAAGCCTTCCTCGCCTTTGCACTTGCATTCCTTGGCTCTGGTGCAAATATACAAAGTTCATGGGGAAGGGTAACTTATAGCAAAGAGGACTTAGAGGTCACAGCAGCTGCGGCTTCGCTTCACCCTGCGGTTCCGACAGGGCATAAGTGCACAGTATACTCTGGCCAATGTTCAAGAACAGAGGGAAGTCCCACTGAGAATCACTTCTACATATTTGCTGTTCTGGGGTCCAGCACGTCGGCATGACTATGTGATAATGGAAGCTTCCTGGCTGGGGAAATGGCCTTTTCAGAAAGCGGAGCGTCTGGAGCTGAGCTAACTCGAACCCCCGGAGCCAGCTTTCTCCCAGGGACCCAGGTGAGCCTCTAGACATCTTGATTTGTCATCCAACCACAATGGCTTATGGGAATTACCTCATTTAATCCTCCAACAGCCTTATGAGGCATTCGCTATTACTCTTCCCATTTTACAGATGAGCAGCTGAGACAGAGAGAAGTTAAATAACTAGCTTGTGGTCAGCAACTAGCAACTGACAGACCAGGGACTTGAGTCTGGCTCCAAAGTTCATGCACTTGACCTCTATGATATAGTGCCTCATAAAACACAACCTTGGGCCTGGCATGGTGGTTCACGCCTGTAATCCCAGCACTTTGGGAGGCTGATGCAGGCAGATCACCTGAGGTCAGGAGTTCAAGACCAGCCTGGCCAACATGGCAAAACCCCGTCTCTACTAAAAATACAAAAATTAGCTAGGCATGGTGGTGAGCACCTGTAATCCCAACTGCTTGGGAGGCTGTGGCATGAGAATCACTTGAACCTGGGAGGGAGAGGTTGCAGTGAGCTGAGATTGCACCACTGCACTCCAGCCTAGGCGACAGAAAATAAACAAATAAAACAAAACACAGTCTTAATAAGCTACACTACTAGCATATAGATATCTAGTAGATTGCTCCTATATTTTTACATATTTATCATTATTATTTTCTGCTACATATATTCATTGCCTAGGCACAGTGTTGAATGCATGAAAATTTCTCAGTAACTCTAATGGGTAAGAAAAATAAAGTTGAAAACAAGTTCCCTTAGCTATCCTTTTAATCTGTGCTTTCTGGTTGAAAGAAGTAGGACTTTGAAGAAGGAGCCTGGAAAAAAATAATCCTTCAAGGACCCACAAGCCAGCAGCCCAGAATACCGCAGAAAAGAGTATTTTCAGCACTCGGCTCCAAGCAGGCATTCAATAAATACTTGCTGACTGGATAGAATTAAACAAACAAATTTTCCTGATTGACATGACATGGGTTCTAATTGCAAAACCTATTGGAGGAACGACCTGATGAAGCAAAGCAAAATTAAATGGGCCGCTGTGAGAGCAGCATAATGGCATTAGAACCTTTCCGTGTCTGGGCTGGGAGGGAGCTGAGGAGAACATTGTTAAGTGTGGACAATGTACAGGCGGGGACCAAATAGAATTTCTTTGACTTCATAATTTTTGAAAACTGTTTATACAGTTCATATATTAAATGCTGTGGAAATTGTTCCGAGTCTTTGCAAGAGAGTGACTGCACGTAGTCCCCCGTAAATCCAGGTTCGTTTGTGAGGCAACTGCCGCATACAGCACACTTATAAGTGCATCCCCCACATTTCTCATTTCAGGATTAGAATAATATTTACGATTACATTTTTGAAAATGTTGTTGTACCAAGATGAAATCAAATAGTTAAGCTTCAGGCAAGAAAAGAGAAATAGACTGGAAGGTGCTGTCACAAATGGTGATGCTGAGCTGGTATTCTTGAGAAATAATTGTGGTCTTTCCCATTTTCAGCTGGAATGCAGCCCTCTGACATTCTTCCAGGGTTTGGGAAGTCAGATTGTCTTACGGATTCCAAACAAATAGAGAGAGTAATCATTGGAGAATGCACAACAATCTGGCAATATGGAAATTACAAATTATAATATTTCCCCCCGAGTAAATGAAATATGCAAAAGAACAACTGCATAATACAGCACAGTTCGTGTAGTCCCTGGGTAGCCACTGTTAGCAAGGTCTTCTATCACACTTGTATACCTCTTTGGTTAATAATGAATGTGCAAAATTAAGTTTAAAATGAATTATGAAATTCTTTCAAAGTTCAATTTTTACATAAAGCGCCATTGGGTATCAAAATACAGTGGCAACCCATGACATACATCTTTTAAAATGTCTGTGCACCTCAATGAAAATTCTGTTTTTTTACCATAACACTAACCCTTATTTACATCAGGGAATTTTCCTAATCTGTTTTCATTCTATTACTGTACATAGTAATCTTGGCCCTAAAGAAATAGAAACATCTAGCTCTACCAGAAATATTTTCACGACCTTGATATTATCTTAATAAGGTTGCATCTCACTGTGTTTATTTCCGGGATATGATATGGAAATCCAATCCCAGTGGCTATGATAATATTAATTCATTCTTTATTCTACAGTACTTTGGTGAAAGTTCTGTACTTATAAGCCCCCGAGCTCAGTGCTATGAGAGTATGTCGTAAGCAGAGCACGCGGATCTCTCTTTCAGGAGTTTACAGACGTCTAAAGAGCGGGTGGAGCACGCGGATCTCTCTTTCAGGAGTTTACAGACATCTAAAGAGCGGGTGGAGTAAGAGTTTTAAACACTGGTCATGTTCTCGTTCTCAAAACCACCTTCACTGTGAGGTCAACATCCTTGGCCAACTGTTGACTACTCGGGAAGCTCACTCTCTTCTGGTCTTCTAAGTTGCTGCCTTGTCAATTTCACTGCTTGTCACTTTCCCCCACAGTGAAAGGACACAAACCAGGAACAATTCACATCAATGAGGATGTGAGAAGTTGGATAAAAACTCTGTGGGGAAATGTCTGAACCTCATGAGTATTGAGGATTGCCTTCTTTCCTTCATGTGAGTAACTCAGAATTGCTGTATTTGATGAACTGCTCCTCCCCAGGTCTATCAGGTAACACCTGGTGTGAGCAAACATTCCTTGTTTATTTTCGTCTTGCAATAGCCAACTCTAGCTTTATTACTATTTCCTATAGAGCTTTGTGTAAATCTCAGTTTCTCTTCATATGAAATGAAATTGGAACCTTAGCTTTTCAGCTACACATCTCCTAATGAAAACGTCACTTGATGTTTACAGAGATGGGTTGCAACCCAAAGGAAGCTTCTGGAATGCAGAGACCACCAAGAGGCCGAGACTGAGAGACTGTACCAGAGTCAACACTTATGGGACCAGGGCAAACCAAGTGGCCATGCCCTTGTAGCCAAGCAAGTCTGGAATGCTCAGGCAAGTATCCAGTGCCAGAGGATGGTAAGTGTGCTGAGGATGCAGTAATTCCCAAACATTCCCTCTAGAAGGATTTCTAGACACAGGCAAGTGTATGAGTGATAAAGGCATGAGCATCAGGCCGGGTGTGGTGGCTCACACCTATAATTCTAGCACTTTGGGAGGCCAAGACAGGTGGATCACCTGAGGTCAGGAGTTCGAGACACTATCTCAAAAACAAACAGAACAAAACACATGAGCATCAAAGCGACCCCAGAAACATAATCAGGGAGACCCCATTTGCCTTCTCATAGATGCGGAGCTGGTTACCAAAGACTAATGGAGAGTCAGAACGATGGAATTTTCTAGAATGTGGCAGAACTAGAGCAGACCCTGTTAAGATAACCCATTGATGTCTACTGTCAGGACGTCCCACAGATGTCCACTCTCTACTCAATCTTCGTCATGCTTAAAGGTCATGAAAGCAGGACACAACCTTTAAAGGATACAAGGTATATGCAAATGAATGCTTAATTTGTTGGAAGGGAAATCTTGCATAAATGTTTAGTGGGCTGTTCAGAATTAAACTGAGACATGTGGACAGAAGGAGCAAATTAAAATAGAGTCAAGTGTCCACCTCTGAGAAATGCTAAAGAGTATAATTCAGAAATCATTTATTCTAGAGGGACCAAGGAGGGCTGACTTAATTACTCTGCCATTTTAACTGAACGCTCTTTGACTTAATTTTATCTCAATGAGTATAAAGCGTTGAGAGACTCTCCCCATAAACACGGAGTTGCCTCTGACAGCTTCTGGGAAGGAGCCCCACGGGGAGGGGATGGTGATTTACAGTACACTAACAGTGCCGCAGAACAGCTTTGGCACCAGAAGTTTCTAGGGCTTAATTACTGCCTTTAAAATGTAAGCCAGAGTTAGGCACGAAGCAGTACCCACCAGAAGGAGGGAGGGAGAGAAAGAGAGAGACAGAGGCGGGGGCATGACTGCAGAGTAAGGAAGACTTGCAAGTGAATGTTGCTGTTATTCTGTGTCTCATTTCCCATAAAGACACCAACCTGCAGAATTCATCATTCTTACTATGGACAATACTATCCATTCTTTCTGTGCCCTACATTTGCCATGTAAAATCATCTGACCTTTTTGAATTCGACTCAAATAGTCTATCCAGAAGGTGTTGTGAGACTTACCTGTTTCTGAAAAGATAAGGATTTTTAAAATATTCCTTTAGACAGTCCCTTGCTAAGGATTTTAAAATTCTAGTATTCTCAGAAAAAATATTCACAGACTTTTAATTCTTTGACCTATTCCCCAACGCCCAGTTATCTTTAAAATATGTTATATTTTTAGGGAAATTCAAAGATTCTAAAATAAAACATATAAAGAAGCCCCCCCAAATAATGCTGGGCGGCTAGCTGTTTTAAGAAATAAGACATTTTTATAATAAAGTTTTCAAAATGTGGTACATATACCACATTCCATATGTGGAATACTATGCAGCCATAAAAAAGAATGAGATCATGTCATTTGCAGTGACGTGGATGGAGCTGGAGGCCATTATTCTAAGCGACCGAATGCGTGCAAGAACAGAAAAGCAAACACTGCATGTTCTCACTTATGGGTGGGAGCTAAATGATGAGAACGCATGGACTCATAGAGAGGAACAACACACACTGGGGCCTGTAGAGGGTGGAGGGTGAGAGGAGGGAGATGAGTGAGTACCAGGATTAACACGTGGGTGATCAAACAATCCGTACAACACCCCCCATGACACAAGTGTACCTGTGTAGCAAACCTGCATCTATGCCCCCGAACTTAAAGCTTAAACAAACATAAATAAAGCTTCTCTCCTTTTCCTTTTCCTTCCTGTTCCTTCGTTTTCCAGGTGACAAATGGGAAGTCACTTGTTATTAAGAGGAGTTGATAGTGCCCAGAGTTTTTCATTTAACGGGAAAATTGTGCCTCTTGTATTCTCGTCTGTGCTGTTACTGTACTTCAGAGGCTCTCAGCCTGAGGGCAATACTCAGAAAACCAGAACTAATTCCCCACAGTCCTTAAGAGAGGCGTGCATGTAAGTGACTGGGAGCTGCATTTCAAAGGTGCTTAGAAATTCTGAAATCTACTTCTAGCAATCAAACTAAACATCCTGGGTGATCCCCGGCATTTGGGGGTTAAGAGCTCTGTGGGTGGAGAGACCACAGAGGAAGTGGGGGCTCACCTCTTTTTACCTGGCTTGCCAGGGAGTTCCTGAGACTCCCTGTTCCTCATGCAGCCTCTGTGATACCAGAACACATGTGGTTCCTGCAGGCTTGACACCCTCCCCCATGACTGCGCAGGCTCCCACTGTCTTCCCTCTCTCCTTGACAGTTGGAAACTAGCTCACACATCACCTTCCCTGGTGAAAGGGAGTGTTCCCTGACCTGTAGACACACTCCTTCTGTTTCCTTTGTTCCTCATTCTCAAACTTACTACACAGAAACTCAATTCAGCTTTTCTCCCTTGGAGAGTAAATTCTAGAGATCATGGAAAATGTCTTCTGATTTCTGTAGCAGCACAACCTAGCACATAGTAGGAGTTCAACAACTTTTTACCAGCTGTCTTAGTCCACTAGAGCTTCTAGAACAAAATATCATAAGCTGGGTGGCTTATAATCAACAGACATTGATTTTTCACGGTTCTGGAAGGTGGGACGTCCAAGGTCAAGGCACCAGCGGATTCTGTGTCTTTGAGAGTCTGCTTCCTGGTTCATAGAGCTGTCCCCTCGCTGGACCCTCACATGACAGGAGAGGCGAGAGAGCTTTCTGGACCTCTTCTATAAAGGCTGTAATTCATTCAAGAGGCCTCTGCCCCAAGACCTAATCACCCCTCACAAATGTCCCTACTGCCTTATGCCCTAATCCTAGCCCTTTGAAGTCAGAGTTCAACGCATAAATTCAGGATGGGGGGCACAGACATTCGGACCACAGCACTGACAAACAGAACTCCCATTCTGTGTCTGCACTATCCATTTTCTCATATTACGGAAAAATACCTGTCAAAAAACTCACATGTCATTTAAAAGCATATCAGTCATGGCTGGATAGATACTACCTGAAATTTTCTGTCTTCCTAGAAGAAAAAATAAGGAGAAATTGGTGTGACTAAGAACTATCCCCCCAGCCCACCCCACCCCCCATTATGTTGCTATGACATGAAATGGATTATCGTGAAATCACGATGTGGTCAGAAAATTGCTGCCCAGGAAGCACCGTCACTGAGCGGGGCTTTGAAGGAGGAGACGAAAATCATTTAATAGAATGGAACTGTGCCACGCTGCAAGCCTCATTGGCAGATTAAATGTATGAGTCACATTGCCCTCAGTGGGCACACTGTCCATTATCCCACAGAGTTCTCTGATTCTTGTGGCGCACTGTGTCAATTATATGCTCCAGGATTTATGTCAAACTTGCCAGGAGCCAGAAATTGTTCTGTAAGATGGGGAACTAGAAGAATGAGCTCCCAATTATAAACAGAGGAGGATGAGATTTGCTTTCTGTGATGTGCGTGGGACGGGGTGGTGTGTGTAGGAGGTGGACACAATAGGTTTTCTATTGCCTTGGTATCTTTTTTTAACGAATTCACTTGGCGATAGAAAAACTCAAGGGAAATAATTTTAGGTCACTTAAGAATACGTGTATAACCGCCTATCAGAAAGCACTGTGGTAAAAGGAACAGGTCACAGTCTCAGTGAAACGGGGCCCCCATCTTGATACCATCACTACTGGCTGACCCTGAGAATGTCTTAATCACCTCTCCACGCTTTAGTTTTCTCACTATGGGAAGGACTTTAAACTAGATGGTCTCTTTCCAGTTCCAAAATTCTGCGCTATGAGACACAACATCTCTTATTCCTAGTGTCCTCAGCACTAGAACAGAGCATTTCAGCTTTGCCCTCTAAGAATTACTTTATTATGTAAGTGTAGGTGGTTAATAAATAGTTGAGTTAGAGACGTTTAAATCTAAGTTTCGGGAAGTGACTTTTTACCCTCAATTTATTGACGTGTACCTTATTAGATGATGAGGTACAGGAAGGAGGATGGTTATTAAGTGGGTGCACTGAATGAATATTGACCCTGAGCGGAATCGTTAGTAGCCAGTTTTCAGGAGGCACTAGAATCACTTCTTATTGTGACTTTTTCTGAAATATTCTCAAAACCACTGTGAGCAAAATGCTGTCAGTTACACAAATGATTTCCCTCGCACAAGGCTGTGTGTTCTTGGCCATTGGTTGAGGAGTCGATAAAGTACGCTGCGATTTTGCTCTGTCTTCTATGAGTTTGAACACAGTTGTGATCACAGATTGGAAATCGTTGAATGAGTGGGCCCCGGGCGGTAAGAAGCATAGAGGTTGATTGGTTAATATCAAAAGAAATGAGCGGTGACAGGTGAGGCTGACGCATGCCTACATTTTATGGGTGACCAAGTGGATAGAAAGGGGACTGTATTTTATTATAAAGTGAATTAATGGGGTGGGGGGAGGATTGGGATTTCCGGCTGTCTAATCTGATCTTCAGTCCTAAAACATAAAAACCCCCCGTCAAATCTGGGCTTGTTGCTCAAGGAGTTTGCAGCTGGGCTGAAGGCTCCCCGCACCATAAATCCTGGACTGTGCTGGAAGGAATTGTAGTTCGGAGGGAACAGTGAATGATTGGAAATAGGTTTTAACAAACTTTTATTGTTCTATGAGTAAACAGAGATCATTGGTCTTCAAAGCTCTTTTTGTAACCCCTGAGTTCAATTATACTGTACCTATAATTCCAGAACTCTCTGAATTGCACCTACACATTATTCTCTGCACAGGTCTTTAACTTGAACAGCTACTCGTTGGTTCAAGAGACCTTCGCTTTTATATGAAGCACCGTTTAGTGGGCATAGAAAAGGATATTCGTTCTCCACAGCTGCTACTTTATTGGAACAATTCATTTTTAAAAAATTACACTCTGACCTTTTGAGAGTGGGATAGGAGTTCTCAAAGTTTTATTGGATATTCGCTGAAAAGCTGTGATTCCGTTTTGGATGGACAGGGCAGTGTGTGGAGACTCACGTCGTGAACTTTTGCTCCAGGAACGACGTCAGGAACACACCAAGAAAGCCGAGAGCATCCACAGACCCTTTGGAGGAACCGGATCACTGCTGCAGGCTCCCTGAGATGACAAAAAACTGCAAGTCTGCTTGGTTTCTCAGTGGGGAGGCTCGTGGTGTGGGGCAAGCTTTCAGCCCTGATCACCTGCTGCCTGGATATTGACTCAGTGCTTTTGGGGGATGCGACGGGAGGGAGACTGGGCTTCAGGACTGTGGGCTGAGTGGGAGTGGGGTGAGGCCTGTGACTGCTGGCTTTCCCCCACTTCCCTGGTGACCTGTATGACTCAGCAGAGGCAGTGGTCAATGGACTGGAAACCACACCCCCATCCCTAACAGCAGCCCCAGAAAGCCCTGCCCAAGGAGAGGCTGAGCTCAAGCACACCTATCCCTGCCCCCACCTGGTGGTCTTTCTCTACCTGCCCTGGTAGCCAAAGACAAAGGTCCTAGTTTCTTGGGACCTCTATGGCTCTGCCTAATGCCGGAGAGGAGAAATCGGAATACTTAACCAGGTGTCCCAAGGGCAAGTTTGCATTTTCCCTAAAGGATGGCCACTGATGAGCTCTTGAAAGCGCCACCTCCTGGCTGAAGGCCACCCAACAAGACACCGGGGCACTGAACAAAAACACATCCAAGGCCCTCACAGAGCCCACTTCACTCCCATGCTGTCTCCACCAGAGTGAGTGCTAGATGGACAGCTGCAAGGCCTGAAGACAGGTCACATCGCAGGTCTCTTTGCAGACACTCCCCAGTTCCAGCCTGGAGTCTGGTAGCTCCACTGGGTGGGTAGAAACAGAAGAGCAAAAGCACTCACTACAGTTCAGGTTTCAGGAAGCCCCATTCCTAGGGGAAGGGGGAGAACCCCACATCAAGGGAGCACCCCATGGGATAAAAGAATCTGAACACCAGCCCTTGAATCCTAGATCTTCCCTCTGATAAAGTCTACCCAAATTAGAAGGAACCGGGAAAACAGTTGTGGTAACATGACGAAACAGATTTCTTTAGTACCCCCAAGAGATCTACCGGCTCACCACCGGTGGATCCAAACCAAGATGAAGTCTCTGAATTGCCAGAAAAGTCATTCAGAAGGATGTTAAGCTTATCAAGGAGGCACCAGGGAAAAGTGAAGTCCAACTTGAAGAAATAAAAAACACGAATTTCATATCCAGCCAAACTAAGCTTCACAACTGAAGGAAAAATGAAATCTTTTATGAACAAGCAAGTACTCAGAGATTTTATTACCACCAGGCCGGCTTTACAAGAGCTTCTGAAAGAAGCATTATACATAGAAAGAAACAACCAGTATTAGCCTTTCTAAAAATATACCAAAAAGTAAAGAGCATCAACATAAAGAAGAATTTACATCAATGAATGGATAAAACAGCTAGTTAACATCAAATGGCAGTAATCCTAAATTTAAGTCAATTAAATCCCCCAATCAAAAGATACAGCGAAAACCCAACGGTATGCTGCATCCAGACCCATTTCACATGCAAGGATACACAGAGACTCAAAACAAAGGGATGGAGAAAGATTTACCAACCAAATGGAGAGCAAAAATAAATAATAAATAAATAAAAAGCAGGAGTTGCAATTCTTGTATCGGATAAAATAGATTTTAAAGCAACAAAGATATAGTGGTAAAAGGATCAATGCAACAATAAGAGCTAATGACCCTAACACCCAGATACATAGAGACTTAGACTCTATGAGACAGAAAATTAATAAGGATATCAA